TGTCGCTTGAACTCGGCTTTGAACTGATCCCACGTGCTAATAGTACATATACCTTTATCCACGGCGGCCATCTTCCTTCTCCACCATAGCATGGCAGTCTCTGAGAGGCACAACACCGCAGTGTTGATCATGGCCTCTTCGTCCTTCACTTTGCCGTGCTTGAAGTAGTTCTCCAAGTGCCAAAGGAAGTTTTTCACTTCTTGCGCATCACGAACACCTTTGAACACCGGGGGTTTGGGAGCCTCAATCTTGGCCTCCCTCGTCACCACAACATTGCTAGCTGCCTCGGTCATGCCAGCACTAGCATGCTCCTCGAGTGACTCTATCTTTGCCTTCATAGCATCGATAGTACTCAAAGCCTCCATGAGTCTGCTCTCTAAGGCAGTGATAGTTTGCCTTAGTTCCATCTCGGTCTGTGTACGTCCCTCCAAGTCATTTCGGATGCTCTCAATCTCTTCAAGAGTGTGCCCTTAAGAACACTAAGGATGCCTTCCACCTTCCCCAAGCGTTGGCCAAAGGTCTCCACGGCGTCCATCCCCGCGTTCATCTTCATCACCCACTCTTTACCGAGCGAGACGTCCTCAGGCAGGACCTCCACTTCATCCTCGCTCGCCTCAGTGGCAGATGGTTCTTGGGATGTAAGCCCTTCGTTTGACACAACCTCAGGTGGCACCTCCTGACCCTTGTTGGTGGCATTTCTCTTTTTGTTACGGCCGCTCTTGCCAGCAGCATCCTGGATGACGTTGGCTTGAGTGTTGGCAACGTTAATTTCTCCGTCGTTCGCCATTCCCTTAGTCGCAACCTTTGCTCTGATACCACTTTGTCACGTCCTTAGTAATTAACTAAGTATACGTGCGGCACTTAACAATTTGCTCACGTTCTTGTTATGCTAAGTTAGCTTTACTACACTCAAGATCGCTAAGAGAATGGTAGAAAGAACACAAGAGAATTATTAATGGAAGCTTTATATTAGAGAGAACTTGAATTGTTTGCTTGATGAATTACAAATGAATGGCATCCTTTATATACTAGTCTCCTAGGGGCTAGTGTGCAAATATTGATTGTTATACAAGTCCTTAATATTTACAAGATAAGGGCTTTCTCTAGAATTCTCTACAAGCCTAGAAGATTCCAAGGACTTTCCTAACAAATTCATAAACATCTAGGATCTTCCAAAGGAAATGTCCATACTTCTCTAGAATCTTCTCACAAATGCAAGCATTCCTCCTATGTAAGCTTCCACATGGCATTAATATATGCCAAATGGCGCTTATGTGGCATGATGACATGGCGAGTCATCACATTAGCCTATATTTATTTTTTTCTAAAACTTTAAACTTAAAATTTTAATTTAAGGATAATTTAGAATATTTATTGGCTAATTTCTAAATAACAAAACCTGAGGCGCGTTCGTGTATCAAGTAAAGAAATATTGGGCTCATGAGGACTTTGTCGGCCCAATCGGGAGTTCCCAAGCCACTTCAGTCTCCCAGTATTTCATTCCCGAGAAAGGCGAAATGTGGATCTCTACGCTTTAATAGGCGAGTCCAGTCAATAAATTTCAAACACACACCACGGTCTTTTTCTTTTTCCAGTTTCCACGTTGGAAATGAATGGTTAAAAACAGATACTTGAACTGATAAATCAAAGAATAATTAGTCATTCAGCAAAAGCTACTTATACGATCAAATAATTCAATAAATTAATTGCAGATAAGTATCTAAACTAAATAATAGGCGTACTTAATAAATTGATAACCTCGAAAAGATGGTCTCCAGGAGCTGATCGATTATATGCCTGTGAAAACTCTTTACAAATTATTATTTCACCTATCAATTTCAAGAATAACGGAGAAAATCATTTTAGTTCCTTAGTCTCATTCTGTTGTTGTACAGAGTCATGAAGCAATAATTTTTTATTCCCAACACTTGGACTGATGACATGAATAAAAGGCATTAGCAGGGAAATTAAATACGACTGAAGTAGATTTCAAAAAGGTAAAGAACGAATAGAAAAGGAAAAGAAGCATTTAGGGCTAAACAGCAGACACAAGCAAACAAATACTATAAGAGAAAAGTAATTCTTGTGAAGATTGGTGGAAGTTTGGTTTAGGCTTTTGTCACACAACTTTGGCGTGCTAATTTTGACAAAAAATATGTAAATTGATAAAACACGCCACTAATTGAGGGAGCTGCCTGCATCTTCTAATTCTTTTCTTTTTCTATAATTATCCAATCTCCCTCAATCCTCAGTCAATCTGGACACTCTCTTTATATACATTTTTCGCCCCTTTTGTCAAACATATCTTTCGTTTGGAACTGGAAAATCATAGGTTGAATGATGACCCAAAAAGTGCTGTCCACACCTGTCGACAATTTCTTAAAATATGGGACTTTGCCTTTTGAATTATTGCTTGCCAAACTATTACTTACAAAACTGGATTAAGATACTTCTTTTTACATGAAGTTAAAAAGGGTGCGTGGTAAAATGACCTCCATACTGAATTGCTTTAGCTTCATTGTTCTTTGTTAATTACCTCAGGCAACTCTCTTTTTATTTTGCGCTATTTTCGTCAAACGATTCTTTCATTTGGAACTGGAAAACAAAAGATGAATGACCAAAAAAGTATCTTGTCCACATCAGTAGACATTTCTTAATACTATTTGATTGCCAAAAGTATTGGCTTACGAAACTGGACTAAGAAATTTAATAAAGAAAATACAGAAACAAAAATGGATGGTAAAAAAGCTCCACAGTGAGTTGCTTGAGGTAAAACTTGTACCATTGTTTTTGTATGGGATTATAAAAACTTGTTGCTATTCCAATAATAAACTATCAAATACAGCAGTAATAGCGGTAAAATCTAGATCAATTGACTGGAATTAAACCGCATCCAAAATTCACAAGACTTATGAACGTACGTAGCAAGAATCCTACAGTAAAAACTGAGATGTGAGTTGTTAATTCACACGAATTCTTCTACCTCTTCAGCTGGAAAATCAAAATTTACCGGAGAGACAGGTGAATTGCTTTTGATATCATTGTGCATGAATCCAAAATTACGTAGCACCTGATTATCCGCAAAGTTTAACGCTCTTTCCATTCCCACCCAACATTTATCACCCACATACTCCGCTGCATGGTCCCCACTACACGGCTGACATCCCGTGAAGTGAGTTATAAACGGCCGCCTCCAACCACCCTTCCAATCACCGCCCTCCGCCACCAACGGCTCCCTCGCCGCCGCGTAACTCTCGCTTACTGCCTCCGCGTGTCTCCTCCGCAACTTCGGTACATCTCTGTCTATCTTCACGTAATTTCCCGTGATGTTATCAAATCTATCTACTATTCCTAACCAGTATCCGTGTAAAGAGTAATCAGTAATCGCATGAATTTTGCTCCTCCATTTTTCTTCTCCTTTCATTATAATATAGCTCAGTGCCGATTGATCGTCGGACTCCGGGAAGATTTTATCCTTGAAAGTTGACCGTAATATTTTGCCCCACTGCTTGTATTCTGGGCTTTTCGGGCCCATATTGGCCCAAACGTCTAAGAAGTCCATGGACCACTGACAATTTCGTATAAGAAAAATCCCTGCATTTATCGCAACCCAGCTTTTCTTTTTAAAAATCAAATCAGGCCAGCCATGAACGATGAAGTTATAGTCCTTGTACTTGTGCAGTGGGATTTTGAAATCCATGTCAGTGAAGATAGCATCCGAGTCAACCCATAAAATCCACTCGGATTCAGGATGGGCCAGCATGGCGGCCCGAACAAGCGGTATCTTGGCCCAATAAGAACGCATTTTAGGGTGCAAAAACGTGTTACCGTAGAAAATATCGTAGCTATGGATTCTACAGTAGTCAACTTTGTTTTTAAAAAACCTTAGGAGTAAATGATCACCTTTAGGGTACTTGCATGGAGTGGGTTGTGATCCAGTGAGGAGGAGTACACGGTTAGCTCTTCCGGCTGCAAATGAAGGATGAAGCTTCAGCCACTGGATTCTCTTCTCGTCCCAATTTTTGATAGGTTTATTAATAGTGTAACTGAGTTCCGGGTCATCGTAGAATGTCTTTTCCGGCGGGTCATATCTCCGGTCAACGGCTTCCCGGTCCGGCGGGCAATATTCCGGTGAAGTAACGTTTTGTTTGGATAAGAAATTTGAGAAATTAGGAAAAGGATCAGTAAAAGACCAAATAGCACAGACAAGTAAAAGAGCTACTATGGCTGCTAGGAAGAGAGATTTGTCTCGTGAAGACGATGATTGTTGTTTGGCCCGAAACACGGTATGGGCCATGGCCGGTTTACGTAAATGGAAGGTAATTGCAAATATGGGAGTAGTATAAGATTTAGAGTGAGAACGTCTCGGGATGCAATGTGTGCTTTAAATGGTGTATGGAAATTAAATGGACCAAGCTAAAGAAATACTACTATAGTATATTAATTAGTCAGCTGGATGAATCTGATTGGACTTTAGGGGTTGAGTAACGAAAATTACTGAAAATTAAAATATTGTGGAATCGATGAGAAGGAATAATATTTAGTAATATTATAAGTAGGGCTTCTTGATTCTTACAAGGAAACTAAGATCTGTAATTAATTCGCGCATTTGCTTTCCTTATAAAATAATATTAATTTTGACAAAATGGGCATGAACCGGTTGAGTAAGAAGATTTTAATGCAAACAGGGTAAGTGGGCGTTTTTAATCTATCTAGGGTTGAGATTTGGGGACTGATAAGGCTGTTACCATGTGTTAACATTCAGTTTTCCTGAATTTGTATTGGGACTAGCTAAGAATATTAGAGTTTCCAGATTTTTCCATTTTATGACTTTTTTTGGATTGAGCAAATTGAGTGCGGAGGCGTGAGTATCAAGCATCTTTCTTGTCCAAGTAAAAAAAAAAGTTATATGAAAATTTGTTTTTACCCTGTCTATTAGTCGCTTAAACTATAACTTTACTTTGTGAATTAACAAATCCACAAAGTATCAAACTGAGGAAGTTTCCACAAGTGCGATAGTGCATATATATGACTTTACTAATATGCACCTTTTCTTTTTCTTGTGGCGGCTAGCGATAATAGCAACAAGAATTGCAATATGGAAATCTTATTGACTAATGATAATAGACCATTGATTTTTGAAGATAAAAACAAAAGGAATCTTAAATGAGTGCACCCTCTCCTTTAAAATAAGAAAGTGCTGCCTCAGTACTTTACGCCATACCTTCCGCTTGGCTAAGATCCTGAATTCCTGGTGCTGACTTCTTTTTTAACTATAGTCTATCACTTATCCCTTCAGTCTTGATTTCTTAACCACTGGAGCAACTATCAAATGGTAATATTTGTTACTTTTTACATTTATTTATAGATTTATTATTCTACATGAACCCAAATTAATTGAGCAAATCTCGAATGGTACTAACTTTTTGCCAATCATCACTCACTCTTCTATCTTCTCATCTGTCACTCTAACGAGTCTACTTTAAGTTATAATTTTTTTTTTATCAACAAAAAAAATAGGAAGAAAGGGGCTAAGTCCCATTTGCCACCATACCCTACTAATCTCATGTACACTTGCATTTATGTATAGATCGTTAGCCTACCCACACCAGGAAACGGTCCTATTAAAAACGAACCACCACTACATTTTGATGTCAGAATAAATTGGGCCAAGGCGACATGAAAGTGGGATTCAGGCTTAGTTAACACAATATCCTTAAGTTGTATACGGATATCATCACACATATATGCCCAATTCCAAACTAATACCAATTCTAATCTTAATACCGGTATGTTTGGCCAAACTTCTAAAATAAACTTATTTTGATAAGTATTTTTTTTAAAAGTTTGGTGAAAACATTTGTGTGGCTAATTAATTAGAGAAGCATTTTTCAGCAGCAATTAGTGTTTGACTAAACTTTTAATAAAGTGTTTCTAAGTATATTTTTTTCAAAAGTATTTTTTTAAAAAAAGAAAATTTTACCTCATATAGTAAACTATTACACCTCATTTATTATAAATCAAAACAATTTCAAAATGTTATTACTTAGCTATCTTTTCTATTTTATAGTAAAATGTGTATTTATTTTATACCCTACCATTGAGGCATGAATATGACAATTATGTTCTTTCTCTCTTCCTTCTCTCTATCAACAAAATTCACAATCCTCTTTCTTCTCCCTCAAACATAACACGTCAATTTGACATCTCGGATTCAATTTGTTGTTAAACTTACCGTTGGCGGCGACCTAATGCTTTATTTCTGTCCTAGTTGATCCTGATTCAATATTAGAAGTATATTGCGGTGGCTCGAATAGCCAGCACAGCACATAGCGTTGTGGCTATGGTTTTCATATGCCGTTGCATTACCCAAGATATGCACGAGCGGAATATGAGGCGTGTCAGAATGGAAACTGGACTGTTTGCTTACTCAATATGGACTGCCCATCACCGGAAATGTTAATCAAAAGAGATAGTTTTCCATGGGAGCTTTTCTTTGGACCTATTAAGAACATGCAGATTCCCTTCTTCTCTCTATGTAAAACTTTTTAATTTTCAGTTTGTTGTTCGCCTATAAAAGTTAAACTTTTTTTCATAACATGAAAACATGGCTTGATGTATTCTGCAATACATTGTAACCAATACAAATATATTGTATTTTTGTATAAATACATTATTTTTTTTGCATGAATTTATGTATTCTGAAGGTGTGTATTTTTAAATACAGTCGAATATCACTGTATTTTATGTTTTTTTTTGTTGTTTGAATACAGTCGAATTGAATACGGTGAATTGAATACAATGTATAATAGTGAATAATGAATATCTGTGAATTGAATATAATGTATACAATCAAATTGAATAGAACGGTCTACACCCTATTTCTTGATTGCCTTACTGTATAAATACAGTCGCGCGAATACATGGAATACATCACAGTAGCAGCGAAATTTATGTAGAATTGATTATGTTGAGTTAATTTAGGAGTGATACACGCTAATTGATCCTCTTTCTGATATTAAACAACTGGACTCCCCTATTTTTAGGCGAATTCCGCTACTGTATTCATGAATACAATAGTGCGAATACAACAAATACAGTCGCACAACTAGACTCCCCTATTTTTAGGCGAATTCCGTAGCAGGAATACAATCGCGTAACAACTAAATAGTAGATATAGTAAGTAATTATATATATGGTAGATATAGGAAGTTAATAGCTATTAAAGAATAGCGGTTTCTGAAAATTTCTCTTTTAAAAAAGTGTTTTTGGAAGGCTACGCTTTTCTGCTTCTCAAAACCTGCTTCTGCTTCTACTCAAAAACACTTTTTTTCTTCCAAAAGTTTGGCAACACCTCAAGTTTGAAACAAAATCAGTTTTTTTTTGAAAAAAAAAAAAATTTTGTTTGGCCAAGCTTCTAAAATCATTTTTTTCAAAAGTACTTTTTAAAAAAGTGCTTTTGGTGAGAAGCAGTTTATGTTTGGCTAAATAATTTGAAAAATACTTTTGAGCAGTAACTAGTGTTTAGCCAAGTTTTTGAAAACTGGTTCTAAGTGTATTTTTTTCAAAAGTGATTATCAGAAAAGTACTTTTGAAGAGAAGCTATTTTTTTTTCTGTTTCTCAAAAATTGCTTCTGCTTCACCTAAAAATCACTTTTTTTCCTTCTAAAAGCTTAACCAAATACCTCAATTTTTGGCCAAAAACACTTTGGGCCAAAAAAAGCACTTTTGGCTCAAAAAAAAGTTTGGCCAAACAGGCTATTAGTCTTGAAAAAGCTTAGCGAGGCTATAAGACTGCACAATAGCCCAAACTAAGATTGCATATCGTAACCATGATGATCTGTCATGGTCAGTGGATTAATTTTCATTTCTCTTTGTTAGTAAGACGCCCGAAGTTCTCATTTTCAAAAGCCAGAGCTCCATGGAAATGGATCAGCATTGTCATTAATTAAGTTGAAGTTACACCACTAGTTCAAGCCAGACAAATGCCTTCTCCGGAAAATTTCGAATGTTCTCAGAAACAGGTTTTCTCCAAACTTGAGTATTTCATAAAACAAGGCTTCTCCAACGTGTCATTAAGTTATGTCATTAAAAGAAAATGAATCAATTGATAAATATTTACAGTACTACAGTACACTGAAGCACTAAATTAACTAGTAAGAAAACATCAGCAGACTGCAACAAGTACACGAACATGAACCACACAGTTCAAAATAAAAACTGTGTTCGATATTTTGAAAAGATACTAATCCAACCTGCTTCTTGAAATTTTGTCAGTAGTAGTAGCAAATTTGATTTCTTCTTATCAGTTACAACAACACTTCTGCCTGTTCCAGTGGTCCTTCATTTCACAAGAAATCCGTCAAGCTTTAGCTCTTGGCAAAAGGACGGGGATTTTTAAGGTTTGTCGCCTTCCTTAGTTGATTTTGAGCTGCCACCAACCAACCGTTTAGCAATTCTTCTTTGTTTTAGTCTGTTTTGTTTCGAGCAAGAGTCTGCTTCACCTGGATAATGGACAAGCGCTAAAAGTTTACTCCATATACATTCAGTATGTAAAAAGTTGTTTGCAGATTGCAGTGTCAGGTCACGTTAAGGTAATTAAAGGTAATATTTCATAGAATAAGATAAGAAAACCTGTTAAGCAGGCCAATTTATACTGCCTCTGTAAAAATTTACTTCCACTTTCAATAGATGTAAGACAAATCCAAAGTGAAAAATAAGGAGAGAGACAAGAAAACTACTGCTATTGCTACTTTTTACTCCTCAAAGCATACCTGGCTCATTGGCATTTTGTCGAACATCTTGTGGTTCCTCTTCTGTTGTACTCACATTTTCACCCTTCCCATCATTCTCTGCGGTTGGAAAAAACGGCCCAATTATATTCTGGATCTCTTCCGTTGTACTCACATTTTCACCCCTCCCATCATTCTCTGCGGTAGGCAACAACGGCCCAATTATATTCTGGCGGCGCGAGGCAGCTTCCTTAAGCTTCTTTCGTCGAAGCCTCTTTCTCTGGGCCCTTCTGAGCTTCTCATCAGGCCCATGATCAGACGCTTGATCGCCAGAGGAAGAAGAGCCCCTATCGTCTTCCACTTCATCTGTATATAAAACCCAATTAGAGTACTAAAATTGCATTTGGTAAGCAACAACTGCACAGACATCAAAATTATACTCATATAACACAGAATACTCCTATAAAAGAAAACCTGGAATTTGATCCAAGTTGATGCCTTGACCAAGAATGTGAAGTGGCTTTTCATCGTTTTCTTCCTACCAATTGTAATAATAACAATAGTCATTTAACACTATGAAAAAGAAAGGGTAATGATGGAGATAGTAGAAAAATAATGGGGATTTACTTGGGGAGGAGGTGAAGGTGGAGGAGGATAGAGCATTCGAAGGAGGCCTTCATGGAACTTCTGTCGTTTCTCTCCTTTCTTCATACTTTGCTTAATTTGGTTTTCTCTTCACATCTGATATACCAACGGGTGTCAATTTGAGCCCAAACCTATCCCATTCGTTCATTCCGTTCAAAAATTAATAGGCGAGTCTATTTGAATTAAGGTCAAGTTAACTCATTATTTTTTTTATGTCCAAATGCAACTCACCAAAAAATAAAGTTATCTCAACCCAACTTATCTAAAAATTTACTTAGTTGCCACGTCATTAATTTTTGCCACATTATTTGTGCTTTAAGCTCAGTGTAATCTTTTCTTGGCACAATAAGTTGGAAGGTAAGATATTTTAGCCTATTCCATGAAAATCCGCTGAAATGTGAAACTTAAGATGTTGAAATTGTTGATGGATTTAATGATAGATAAGCACGTGAGACACTACTCTTGGAATGTTACAACTATTTTTTTTGTGATGATCGATGTAGAACTGGCTACATATTTTTGGTGTTCAATTCTAAAAGTGTATGTGCTTGTTTATCATATTTTTAAAATTCATTAACAACATTTTGAGCATCCGTGGTTTAACCTTGTATTTCATTAACACGTGTATTAAATTAAAGCAATCTTTCTTGAAATAGTTAAAACATCTACTCTACGGTTTTTTGTGCCAAGAGTAAGTTACAATTGGCTTTAAACTAGCATTATAATGAACATATTTGTCAACAGTAGAAGAATCGAGTAAATTGGAGGAATTTGTTAATGGTCGCTTAGGGCTTCTAGATCTTTCTCATAAGATAGTAACAGAGAGAACACGAGAAAAATGACTGAATAGTGCACGACCTGCCTAATACAATTGGGCCCTTATGTATTTATATCAACCCGATAACCCGGTCTAGAGGTCTTACAAATTGAGTACACATTACAACAATGGCTACGAAATAGGAGAAGAATCAATAGGACCAGTCATGGTAGCAAATGTAGTTGCATAACAATTCAAAGGAGAAGTTTTAACCTAACAAACAATTAATAATAATTCGCCACACCTAGAACCACAGAATATGATGAACAGTTCAGGTACAATTACACAGATAAGAAATAGGAATACCAGCCTTCTTCGCGACCTAAAGAAGTAAAGGCCTGGATATGTGAGCAATATCTCCGTCGAAACTCCGATTAACTGCAGCAAAACCCTAGGTCGGAGGAGAACATAGAAAACTCCGCTGAATACCAAAAAATCTCAAATCAAACCAGCACCACTGCACTACCGATGACATATAGGAGACGTCAAAGCCACAAAAATGAATCTTCGACCGAAAATCAGAGAAATCACAAAGCCCCGATGAAAATCAAAACTTGGCAGAAACTGATGGGGGTAACACTGCTCGATAGAAAAAGACGAGGACTAACGAATTCACCACTCTGATACCATGTCAACAGCAGAAGAATCGAGTAAATTGGAGGGATTTTTTAATGGTCGCTTAGGGCTTCTAGATCTTTCTCATCAGATAGTAACAGAGAGAACACGAGAAAAATGACTGAATAGTGCACGACCTGCCTAATACAGCTTGGCCCTTATGTATTTATCAACCCGTCCTTATGTATTTATATCAACCCGGAAACCAGGTCTAGAGGTATTACAAATTGAGTACACATTACAACAATGGCTACGAAATAGGAGAAGAATCAATAGGACCAGTCATGGTAGCAAATGTAGTTGCATAACAATTCAAAGGAGAAGTTTTAACCTAACAAACAATTAATAATAATTCGCCACACCTAGAACCACAGAATATGATGAACAGTTCAGGTACAATTACACAGATAAGAAATAGGAATACCAGCCTTCTTCGCGACCTAAAGAAGTAAAGGCCTGGATATGTGAGCAATATCTCCGTCGAAACTCCGATTAACTGCAGCAAAACCCTAGGTCGGAGGAGAACATAGAAAACTCCGCTGAATACCAAAAAATCTCAAATCAAACCAGCACCACTGCACTACCGATGACATATAGGAGACGTCAAAGCCACAAAAATGAATCTTCGACCGAAAATCAGAGAAATCACAAAGCCCCGATGAAAATCAAAACTTGGCAGAAACTGATGGGGGTAACACTGCTCGATAGAAAAAGACGAGGACTAACGAATTCACCACTCTGATACCATGTCAGCAGTAGAAGAATCGAGTAAATTGGAGGGATTTTTTAATGGTCGCTTAGGGCTTCTAGATCTTTCTCATCAGATAGTAACAGAGAGAACACGAGAAAAATGACTGAATAGTGCACGACCTGCCTAATACAGCTTGGCCCTTATGTATTTATCAACCCGTCCTTATGTATTTATATCAACCCGGAAACCAGGTCTAGAGGTATTACAAATTGAGTACACATTACAACAATGGCTACAAAATAAATTGGTTAAGTGTTACAAAGAGTAGCTACTGCTAACTATGTACAGAATAAATAACTGGGCCTGACTCATGTTTTCTGCTTTGGGCCTGAGGCTATGTATTCCAAAAGCCCAACACCTCCCTCAAGTTGGAGGGGGAGACCACCTTCAACTTTTCCAAGAAGGATTGATGAAGGAGCCCAGACAAGGATTTAGTAAACAGATCTACAAGTTGATTGGTAATGGAGACATGAAACAACTGGATCAACCCTTTACTCAACTTGGTGCGAATGAAATGACAGTCGACCTCGATGTGTTTAGTACGCTCATGGAATACCGGATTTCTGGTAATATGAATCACTGTCTTATTGTCACAAAACATAGAAATATGAGAAGAAATAGAGACAGTAAGATCAGCCAAATGAAGAAGAGGGAAGGAAAGGAAATGAACAGTTAGGGAAAGAATTGACAGGTGGAGTAGGAGATGAAGCAGGAAGAGGAGAAGAAGGAGACACATCTTGACCGGAGATAGGGAAGTTATCAGTAGAAGTGACAAATGAAGCAACAGAAAGAGAATCATCAAGGGAGAAGGGAGGATCGGGAGTAACTGGAAGCTTGGAAGCTGTTGGTGCCATGATTTCTGGAAAAGGAAAGTCAGGGGAAAAAGGAAAATGATATTCATGGAAGAGAACATCTCTAGAAATAAAGCATTGTCGAGACTGCAAATTGTACAATTTATAACCCTTCTTTAGTTTATATCTATGTGAAATTGGGACAATGGCTAAACAAAGACATCCAAAAGTCCTCAAATAAGAGTACTTGGTGCCTTGCCAAACAACTATTCATAGAGGGATTTGTTGTGAAGTAATGGAGAGGGAAGTTTGTTTATAATGTAAATGGCTGTAAGTAAATAGTCACCCCAGAACCTTATTGGAACCTTTGATTCAAAAAGTAAGGCTCTAGATGCTTCAAGCAGGATTCTGTGTTTTCGTTCCTCCACATCATTTTATTGACGTATGTGGGGACATCTGGTTTGATGAATAATCCCTTGGTCAGAAAAAAGAAGAAGCAATAGCAGCATTACTAGCCCCCCAGTTAACTAAAGCATTGTCAGATTTATTTTCTGGGTGGTAACATGAAATCGAGTCTTAACCATTGTAACAAAAGCTTTCAAAGCGGAAAAGGCGTTACTCTTAGACCCCATTAAATGGGTCCATGTACTTCTAGAAAAATTATCTATAATGGTAAGAAAGTTTTTAGAACCAGAATAGGTAGGAGTGTGATATGGCCCCCAAGTGTCAACATGGATAAGTTCAAAAGGTTTAGAACTATGAATAGAACTGTCGGGAAATGGTAGCCTAGTTTGCCTAGCCATTGGGCAAATAGTGCATGGAAAAGACAGTGTAGAAGAAATAATAGAAGATATTTCAGGAATAATTTTTATCTTAGCAAAAGGAACATGAGCAAGCCTATGATGCCAAACAATATCAGTTTTAATCATAGCAACTTTATTACAGGTGGAAGAGACAGTATGTACAGAACAAGGAAAAGAACTAGAATCACACATGAATGACAAGATGTTGCAGACATTTGACGAGGTAGCCTGATTTTGGGAAGGTTTCTCCCATACAAACTTGTACAGTCCAGTGTCCAGTTTACCAAGATCCAAAGGCTTCTTCAGAAAAGGCCTTGTATCATGCATGAAAGTCTGGTAAACTGAAATATACAATCAAATTGTTCTGTAATATTATGTACTGAGATTAGATTATGCTTAAAAGAAGGAAGTTAAAGAATATTTTGAAGAATGATAGATTCAGTCAAGACAAAGGAACCTGTGCAGGTAACCTTAACTTTATAACCATTTGGAAGAGAGACAAGAAAAGGAATAGGTAGTAGAGTAATGTTAATAAGGAAGTCTTTATTAGAAGTCATATGGTCGGATGCACCAGAATCAACTATCCAAGTCAGAGAATTTGATTTACTCAACAAAGTAGAATTGAAACTATAACTATATTTTTAGGAAGTAATGTACCAACAAAATTGGCAGAACTCATGATGTTAAGTTGAGGCCCACAATCAGGGACATTAGTTTGATGGCGCAGTGAGATCAGCTGAGAATACTGCTGTTTGGTGTACTATAGAACGATGATCAGTAGTAGCAGCAGAATGAAGAGGTGTCTGATTGGGAGTAAGATGCTCAGGAGGAGGAGAAGAATCGGAATCTACAACCATATTTGCAGCTGTTTTTCTTCCTTTGGTAAACTTGAAGTTAGGAGGGAACCCATCAAACTTGTAGCACTTATCAATTGAGTGCCCAGAATTTTTACAATATTTGCAAAAGGTACTAGCTTAGAATGATCAAAATTTACTCTCTGATTCAACTGTCTTTGTTGTCCCTGAAATTGAATATTAGGTTGAGGTTGAACAAACTTATTTGTACTAGAATTGACATTAAAGAAAGCTGACTCAGAAGCAAATAGAAGTGTTGGATTAATTTGCCTATGCTTTTCATCTTGGAGAAGAATGTTGTAAACATTATCCAGAGATGGTAATGGTTGCATCATCAACAAATTGCTTCTAACACCCATGTATAGTTCATTAAGTCCATAAGAAATTGATGAACTTTGCCCTCTTCTTTCTCCTTTTGAAGACCCTCTTTAGCAGCACAAATGCATGAGTTTGCATGACTACTGCACATTACCCCGAGTTCATCCCATATTTTTTTAAGTTTGTTAAAGTATGAAGCAATGTCCAGAGAGCCTTGATAAGCAGAAGTAAGCTCTCTCTTTAATTCAAATACTTTGGTCCCATTTACACTACCATATCTACTATTCAATGGTTTCAAAATACTTTCAACTGTCTCACAATATAGGTCACTTTCAGCTATGTCAGGAGACAATGAACTAGTCAGCCATGATAT